CACCCGAACACATTAATGACACAGGTTCTGCAGCTGATTCATTTGGTAAACTCAGCGCCTTATCTCAGAATCGGTGTAATGCAGGTGTTCGGGTGTAAAGGGATGAGGTGACAACCCTAGGTCTAATACTTTGGATAATATTGTGTGTTTTCAGCAGGGGCGGACTGACCATTTGGAAACTCGGGCACTGCTCGAGGGCCCAGGTCAGTAGGGGGCCCCATGAGATGCCCCTGATACCTTTTTCATAGGCTTTTTTTAGTTTGGGCAAGGACACAGGGGCCCCATGATCCCCTATTGCCCGGGGGCCCCATGAGTTGTCTGTCCTCCCCTGGTTCAGTATTAGGACTGAAAATGCTATAGACACATTCCGCCATCCCAGGTTGAACACCACCACAGGCCCGCCTCCATAGCAACCAGGGGCTCCGCGGTGCATTATGGGCCGGGTTTAGTGAGCTCAGGCCGCGCTGCATGCTGGGATCGGCCCGGCCGGGTTGATTAGCGCACGCGTGGCTCCTCCCCTTCCTTTTCCCGAGCAGAGAGGCGAGCACGATGGGCCACCAGCAGCTGTACTGGAGTCACCCGAGGAAGTTCGGTCAGGGATCCCGCTCCTGGTCTGTGTCCGTCGGGTGTGGGGACCTTCAGGGAAGGTGGTGGGGGGAGGATGGGGGCGGCGGGGCTGTGCTGGGTAGAGGGAGGGGGTGGAGGAGGTGAAGGCCTCATGGGGAGCAGCATGGCGGGCAGGGATGGCGGCGCTGACATCACGGGGCCTATTGTTAGAGGTGTGGAGGCGGAATGGGGTGTACACTGCACTGCTAGAGCCGGGCCTTCCTAGGATGGGGAGCCGGGCTGTCAGATGATGATGATGGCGGCTCGATCTGTCCGTCCTAGGGCCTGGAGATGGGAGGAATCGCCCCCGGGGTCAGGCCGAGCTTTGGTCCATTTTTTGAAGATCCGCACAAAGATATCTTCCCATCACGTGACCCTTGTGCTGGGGGGTACAGAATTAGTTGATTCCCCCCACCAATGATTGTAATCTTCCAGGGTGGTGGGATTAGGGCCGTTCATACAGCAGTGCTGGGAGCCTGCCGTCCACACACACTTCCTATAACGCACCGCCCTTGTGATCCTTTTTTGTAGGGAGAAGAGACAAAGATTGTTCCCTCTGTACAGAGCCCTGTGTTGTTTGTCAACACAGTGCTCTGGGCTGTGATGGTGTCATTGCAATGGGAGGTACACCCCCCGAATGTAGTGGTTTGGCCGCTCCGGATTGCATGGTACCAGGCAGTCCAGTTGCAATATGTTTCCAAAAGCCGTACATGCACCACCTTCGGTTTCCGCCCCTTTAAATGAATGACCTGAAATCCCAACGCACCCGGATCACCACGCACTGCGTGTTCCTGTGCGATTCATAGTGTGAGCGGGGTCTAAAGTAGAACAGGAAACAAAACGTTTTCATTTTGGATAGAGTAAGGCTGAATTCACACCTGGGTGATGATTGCTTTACTAGAATGTGGTAAAATGCATCAAAACTGCGCTAGAACGCACATGTCTCCATTTAAAGTGAAGAGGGGGAAAAAACGCACCGAGTGCGCCAAAACTGAACATGCAGAAACTCATCTGGACTGCGTTTTTATGGTGTGACTGATCCTTAAGGGAGGGTTATAACCACTCTGTTTTTTTGCCTTCTGTGTCCCATTGGGGAGATTTGCCTTCACTTCCTGTCCCATAACCCAACAGGAAGTGAGAGGAAATCCCTGTAAATAAAAAGCATGTGTTCACCTTTGGAAACGTAGCTTGTTCTCAATCCTGCAGCCGCTGCCCCAGCCCCCCCCACCTCTGACAGACGTATGGGGAGAAGTTCCCCGTAAAATCTCTCAGCTTTGAAAACAGAGTGACTGTGCGGGGCTCCACCCACATCATTCAGAGTTCTGTGAATGAACTAAAAGTCCCAGCAGCCTTAGTGGCTGTCAGCTTGTATTTCCGCTTGCTTGTACATCCTGTACGGCAAACAGATATTCTGACAGGTCTGCAGGAGACCTGCATGGCATCAGCCATCTACTGATCACTGGTGCAATACTTTACAGGCTCCTGCAAACAAAAAACAAATACTTTTTTTTTTTTTTTAACATGCAAAAAATTTATTTTTGTGCAAAAGGTGAACTTATCATTTTAGGGGGTTCTTGTGGACCCCCAGGGCACCAGAACTATTGTCCCCATTGGAAGATTTCCCCTCTTTCTTTTCTAGGGACAGCCCAAATTTTGGCATTTCCTTTCACTTCCCATGATGGTAAACGGGACAAATGGAGAGAATCTCCTTAAAGTGGAGTTCCACCCGACTTTTAAAGTTTGGCCCCCATGTATTGCTTCCTACTGTCTCATCAATCTTTAGCAAATTTTTTTTTTTTCCTCCCAAAGTTTTCATACCTTTAGGCTACTTGAAGCACTGCACTTCCAATGTAGCTTGCCATGGCGAGGTACGTCACATCCTCCTCCCTGTTGGTTCCTGGAATGCATGTATCATCAATCCCAGAAGTCAATGGGCATCCCCCCACTCTGCAGTGAGTGTGCTGCGCTTTCTTCACACTGCACAGGTGCAAGATGGGGAGCTGCATGCTGGGTAGTCAGCTGCACCGTATCCCGGAAGAAAGTGCTGCCGGGCTTCAGATGCCCACAGTGAATATGGAAGAACACAAGATCATTGTGGGGGGCGCAGTGAGAATCTTTAAAAGAACAAGGAAGACAAACAATTACATATGCAGCTTATGCCAGTTTGCATGGCATGAGCTGCAACTGTCAGAGGTGCTTTTAAAAGAAAAAAAGACTGGAACTCCACTTTATTAGGAACACAGCAATAAAACCTGATGGGTGTTCTAATCCTTCTCCATGCTATCCTAAATATAAATGTTTTGTCTTTACACCTTAAGGATTAATGGTAGAGCCTGTCTTGTGCATTTCTGCTTGTTTCCCGAACCCCAAGGTGTGACTGAGGCCCAAAGTTGGGTACATATGGCGTTTTTGTTCAGCCGACGAGTGGAATGGAAACACAAATCTGCGCGCCCCCCCGCCCCAGTCAGACTACACTGATCAGCAGAGAAGGCTACACACGCTGCTAAACCAACTAAATTTAATGTTTATACATAGATCAAGGCTAGGTTCACATCTCTGCATTCCTGCGGGCTGTGTTTTGCTTGGGCACAAGAGCCCATTCATTTGAATGGACTCCTGTGCCCTGGGACACGCAGGGAAGAAGTCCCTGCACTTCTTCGGAAAATGCAGCCCGCCTATGTTCACAGTACGGTTGTGACTTCCAGTGTGGGCGGTGTGCCATTAAAATTAATGGCACCCGCCCGTGGGTCCGCATTCCTCTGTTTGGGTGGTGCGGCTGCAAGGATTTTTGTGTGGCACCACCTGCACAGATGTGTACCAGGGGTAAGGGAGGATTATAACTCCCATCAGTTTTTAGTTGTCTAATGAGGTAGATTTCCCCCATTATAACTCCCATCAGGTTTTATCTGTCTAATGGGGGAGATTTCCCCTATATGCGCTCAAGAGTGTCTACCCTTTCTGGCCACTTGTACTACAGCTCCCATCAGTGAAATGTGATCTGTGAATGGCAGATATGGCCCTTTCATTTATACACCCATCCTCCATTCATAGATGGCATTTCAGTGCTGGAAGCTGTATGAATGGAAGAGTTGGGCGCAAAGGAACTCTAGTTCTGGTAGTAATCCTGGATTTCCTCACTTCCTGTTGTGGAAGTGGGACAAGTGAAAAGATCTCCCCAATGGGACACAGAGGTTATAAATGCTATCTTCAATACTTTGAGGTACTGACCTGGGAGAAACATGCAGGTTAGGGAAGTAATAGCAGCGATCAGTGACTTGTGGCAGACATTCTGAGATTGGAGGGTACTAACTTGGTGTCACTGACATCCCCAGTAACACCAATACAGTGATCAGTGATAAAAAAGCACTGACACTGTACTAATGGCACTGGGCAGGAAGGGGTTAACATGGGGGGGGATCAAAGGGTTAACTGTGTACAGGGAGTGTTTTAATAGAGGGCTGTGTCAGTGTGCTTCGCTGTAAGCACACTGCTTTGGATGGCTGTGCTGTGCACAGCCATCCAAAGCATTGTGCCTGAGCTGACAGGGAGGATTGTTGGTAAACAGTCCTCCCCGTTGGAGATGCTCAGTGATCACTGGGCGCTGGCAGGTACTCACCGGCCGGGACCCGGTGATTGGTGGCCCAGCTCATGTGTGCCCCCTACCTGGAAATGCAAGATTATATATATATATATATATATTCTGTATGTGATTTTGTGCACCCTGTCGCCCTGTAGCAATATATCTGCTATAGGGAGGCAGGAAAGCGGTTAACAATACGTTTTTGCCTTTGGCTGTCTCACTGACAAAGATCCCTGTTGTGATATGTTGTTTTTTGGCGCAGTGTTGAGGATACCTGCACTTAAAGTGCAGAACCTTTTATTTAAGTTCGCTAAAAACTCTGAATAGACAGTGTGGTAGTAACACCATTTTATGAAATGACTAAGGCCTGCATCCAGCTCTCCACTTTTGTCTACTTTTCCTGTGGGGGAAAAAAAAACTGCTCCTGGCCAGTCTTAGAAGACCTGCTTCTCGCACCCCAGTGAAGAATCCTTTAACCTTCTCCCAGCAGCAGCATAGAAAAGGAAGTTAAAAGCCAACTGAGGATGTAACTTCCGAATTTAGAAGTTCAGATGGCATAGGTGCTGTTTTTTTGTGCCCAGCGGTGACTTAGAATACTGAATCATTAGCATGACAGCCAGACTGGCACTTTCAGTAGGTCTAAGCCCTCCTAGAACAGGTTTCCGTTCAACAAGGGTGGTGTTAGGCAGTAAAAGATTTTTAAATGGTGTATGGGACTTGTAAAAGCTTAGACTGTTTTTAATTCATTACTACTTTCTTTTACAGCCGCGTGTGTTCTAACAGACATGGACTGATCCGCAAATATGGACTGAACATGTGCCGCCAGTGCTTCAGGCAGTATGCAAAGGACATTGGCTTTATCAAGGTATTTCCAGTTTTAACTTGCTGGTTATATTGCTGCAAAAAGTTGACAGTATTTTAAATCTTGGTGCATACGGGCAGATTAGGATGCTTTATCTTCACTTGAAATTGCAGTGTGAGCTAGATGGACATCAGAAGCATGGCTTTCACTTGGCTATCTTTATAAATTACTCCAAATCTGGAAGGAGCACTCGCCAAATCTAAGATCCCCACTCCATGTAGTGGAGTTTGTTTTTAAATAGACCTGCTAAGCTGTTGGCCTCATCTCCAAATTAATCTACAGTTAAAGGAGAAGTAGGATAAAAGCTATATGGCTATATTTCTCCTGTGGATCAAAGAGGTTTGTAGTGCACTCCTGTGACCAGTTTTTCAGCCAACAGTGGGCTAAAACCCCCTGACATATCTCGGCTGGTCCAGGCTCTGGAAAGAACCTGACTTTAAAGTCTGGATCCACCCAGATGCCTGGACTGGCAGCCGGCTCAGCCTTGGTGAGCTTCTGACAGCCTGAAAGTGGCTGCTCCCACCCCTACACAGCCTGGTGCTGGAGGGGCAGAACACAGTCATTGACTGTCACCACTCTGCCCCTCCATTGCTCAGGCTGGGGAGGGAGCGGCTGGCTCAGGCTCTCAGTGGAGTACTAAGTGGCTGAGCCAGCTTCCAGTCAGGGATCTGGGTTGTAAGGATGCTTTCAGAGCCCGGACTGACTGTCAGTCAACAGCGGGCTAATTCTGGGTCACATGAGTGCAAAAGTGCACTTCTGTGACCCACATGAGAAGTATGACAAACAAGCTTTGGCCTTAAGGTTTTAGAGGAAACCGGCATACTTGAATTTGGGGGCTATGTTGTTTTTGGCTTCAATATGCTGAGACACTAGCTTGGAACAAGCATGCAGATCAGGAGAGTAAGAAAATCTAAGCAGCGCAGTTGTGCTAAGTCAATAATTTGAAAAAGAAATGAATCCAAGGAATGGACAAGAAAGCTGGCATAGTCAGAAGATGGCATTGGTGTACATACTCATTATGGGATTTCTTTGAGAACTACAGCTTCCTCAATAAACCTGTAATGTGGTTTGCTGCTTTGAGATGCATTTTTTATCATTCATATCATTGAATGTTTGCCATTCATGTTTACAAGGAATACAAGCAAGTATTTGGATATTAATACACGTGCTGTATTTGTTCAGTGGTTCTAAAGACTGAAGGCTTAACCCTCTGTATGCAGCTCCCTGGCCTCCCTAATCCCTACCTGAGCCTGATCTCAATCCAGCGATGTACATGAGAGCTGGTGCTCTCCCAGTTCTTTAATTACAGAAAAGTTGACCTACCAGATATCCAGCAAGCTGCTAACTTCTGTTATGAGCCAACACACCAGTGTCCTCGGCTGCTCTGAAATCTTGTACAGGGTTGTCTGAGTTCTCCTTTGCTGGATTACAGATAGGACCTGACCTAGTGCACCCTGCTGCTTCTGTTCCCATGCTTTACAAGCCTGGGAATGTCATAGATAAGCGGTTTCTTCATACACTAGCAAAGCAAAAAAACTGCTTGGGATGCTTCTAGGGGGCAAATGTGGGTCATGCTGATTTTTTTAAAATCCTTCTTTCTGTTTTCTTTCAGCTGGACTAAATGGATACTTGTTTGGACGAGATCTATGGCCATAAATTCAGATGAGATGTGCAGTTTGTACTTAAGACTTTGAAGAACAGAAACATGTGAATTATGTTGGTTTACATCTTGCATTTGTTACCCAAGACTTTGACGAACACATGTGAATAAAATTAGTTTATACTCTACAATTTGTTTTTTCTTTTAAAGGTATTGAAAAAAATTGATACTGGTGTTTATGCTTAGCAGTGTTTTTACCACCTTGATTGATTTTAGCAGATTGTTACCTCATGGTGGGTGACACTTCTGAAATCTCTACTATGGGCTGAGAATTGGGTTTAGATGTGATTGATCTGCCAGTTTTAACTGGTTCCATGCCACCCTATAGCAGAAATACTGCTACAGGGGGTGTGAAATCGTGTGTGTATGTGTGTGTGTGTGTGTGTGTGTGTGTGTGTGTGTTTTTGGCGTTCCGTGTAGGGGCGCGCATGCGCAACCTTGGCTGCTGTCAATCACCCGGTGATTACTTGCTGGCACCCAGTGATTGCCGAGTATCTGACAGCGAAGAGACCTGTATGTAAACAATACAGATCTGTTCCCTGTCAGCTCCTGCGCACTGCTTTGTATGGCTCTGCATAGCAGAGCCATACAAAGCCGTGTGCTTACAGTGGGAAAGCACACAGTTAACCCTTTGCCCCATATGTTAACACCTTCCTGTCCAGTGTCACTGTACTGGTGTCACTGGGGATGTCAGTTCCCACCGGTGTCAGAATGCTCGCCGCAGTCCTGCTATAAGTAGCGGATCGCCGCCTTTACTAGTAAAAAGAAAAAATAAATCCAGTGTGTTATGAGATAGATAGATAGATAGATAGATAGATAGATAGATAGATAGATAGATAGATAGATAGATAGATAGATAGATAGATAGATAGATAGATAGATAGATAGATAGATAGATAGATAGATAGATAGATAGATAGATAGATAGATAGATAGATAGATAGATAGAGAGAGAGAGATTTTATAACTGTCATGTATACCAGCTAATTTACACATATTGGGGTGTTTTTTTTTAGCAAACACATGTAGCAGAATAAAATTTGGCCTAAATTTATGACTAAATTAGATTTTTAAAACCTTTCTACTGGACATGTTAGCAAACTCAAATTTATTTTTGGTCTTTGTTTATAGCTCAAAAATAAAAAACCAGACAGGCAATAAAATACCACCGAATTAAAGCTTTGTGGGGGAAAAAAGGACATAAATTTCATTTGGGTGCAGCGTTTCATGACCTCGCAACTGTCAGTTAAAGTAACGCAGTTCCGTATCGCAAAAAATGGCCTGGTCAGGAAGGGGGGTAAATCCTCTGGAGGGCAAGGGGTTAAAGTGTTGGGGATGAGCCATGGTCCCCAAAGCTATACACTCAGTCATTGGGGATTGTTTGGGGAAGTGGTTGGTGGCAGCAAAACATTACTTTGTGAGTGCCAATGTCAGTTATTTTACGCATATTTTTTCTGAATAAGCTTTTAGTGACAAACCATATCCTCATTCTCCCAAAATCTGTACATATTCACTTCTTACTGGCCCTGTATTTATCAATATGGTTGTATTATTCTGCCTCCTTAACATTATTTGAGACCCCAAACCTCTAGTTTTTTCCCCCCTCCGTTCCATTTGTTTGGATCTGGCAGTGCACATTAGTTGTGGTGATGGGCACCCAATTCTATGCACACTTCAAATCTCGTCTCTAGTCCATCTTGGGAGCGAGCAAGAGAAGTAACAGGAAGTTAGATCACGGCAAAAGGAAATTGGAAAAGGCTGAAAAAAAACCCTACTTTTTTTTTTTTTTTTTTTAGGTAAAATGATGTGCTTGAACCAGGAAATCGCCGTCTGGTATAGCCCTACTAAGCTTAGCTCAGGTTTTTTTTTTTTTATGCTAGTCGTGTCTTAAGGTGATGGCCATGTCAGTGTAGAATGCATAAAAAAAAATTGTTAGATTTTCCCAAGATTCCATCTGGTGTTACAAAACTGATTTATCCAGATCTTCTGCCTACCGGACATGCAGGGGGACTGCCTTTATCAATGTCTCTTGGCAGTGGATACTGCAACGATATATTGCCTTGTGGACTAGCAGTGAGCTAGAGTGATGTCCCTGAACGCTCTTGTGGGTGACAGCACACTGATGTGTGAAGTTTGGATCCCTCCAAGAGGGGACCTGCAGAGCGGGCTGGTAAGTGCCCCCTTGGAAACCCTACTACTGTTGGTACCCATGGACCCCCCCCCCCCACATTTGATCCCTTACATTTAAATGTGGGGTTTCATTTGTATTTTGCATATACTGTCTCCTGGCTGACAAAGTGCCATGTAATGGTGGAGCTTAGAGGCTGTCTGGGAGGTTGTGACACCAAATGCGTGGGGTACTCCTCCTTTTCTCTGTCCATCTTAGATCTCAGGAAGCATGCAGTAAGCACTAGTGGTGTAATGCAGGGAGCAGAGCCAGCTAGCAGCCGCCATATTTCCACTTTTTTTCAGGAGAATCTGCAAAGACTTAAAACAGTGTTTTCCTGGGCCAGTCTTGCATCATATATTGGTCCAAGTACTACAATTTAGTGAGGTAGGCACTGGTTGAAGAAAGGCAGGTTTTGGTTGGAATAGTCCCTACATTGTTTGGGGATACCAGAACCCATTCTTCTCAACTGACTAGGGATGCTAATTAGTATTGGACCCATTGTCAACAGGCCACATCTCATTGACAGCCGCGAGAGGAGGATCGGGGAAGAAAAAGCACAGCCTTTTTTTTTTTTTTTTTTTTTTTCCCCAAATTCAAATAACATTTGAAAATAGTGGGAAGGTTCTGAAATTCAAGCTTGTAACCTCAAGCCCCTATGTTTATAGATCCATATTCTTCATAAGATGGGAACCTGGATGAAGCTGTCCTGTGGGGGTCAGTCCAGTGTGGCTTTCATACCATTCACTTGTCCAACTAATTCTGGGCTACCTTTACCCGGTTCCTTTGTAGCAAGGGCGGAATTTTCATCTGGGTTACACCAGCTTTCTGAATTGGACTGTCAGACCTTTTCCTTACCCTCCTTAATAATGGAGATGGCTGCTGAGAAACCACCAAAGGAAGAGGCAGAAGGGAAGCAACTTTTACTGTACAATGCTGATGCAGAGAATTTCTTATACGAAATCTGTGCCTGAGGAATCTCAGGATCTAAATTTTCTCTCAGACCCAAATGCCTTTTGAAGTTGGTCTGAACCACTTGTGCAAGAAAACCCAAAAATTACCAATGCTTAAATCCTCTATCTGAAGATTATAGGACTGGGATCATGGCACCCTTTGCAGCATCCCTAATTTGTTCCTGTTAACATACTCTAACAGCTCTTTCCTCTGGGCATCCTGCCAGTGACCATGCACAGGATTTGATGGCTGAAGTGTAAGACGGAAGTAGAACACTTA